CAAATAAGTTTATGGGTCTAATAAACTCGAAACAATTTGGACAACTTTCCTCCAAAAAAAGGATCCCAAAAGCATACCACAATGCCTATTAGAAATTAGAGACCACGAAATTAGAGACCACAAAATTAGAGACCTCATCACCCATTTGTTATTCACCACCTCCATGTCACCATCATTCGCCACCACATTCCATAAATGGCCTTTAACAATCCCACAAAACAAATATTTTAAGAACATCTAAAGAAATTAATTCTATGGGAAAGAAAAACTTACAGTTTCAAAAAATTGACCTTGAAGTTAATTCATTAAAAAAAATTAAAACAACACACAGGACTTGAGTTTCAAAATGATATTCTTTTCTTTTGTTTCATTTTATTGTTTTGTTTATTAAACTGGTCACAACACAAATACTCATTTGAACCAAATTAAATTAATATTACAACTCAAAAATCTCAATATTCACAAAAATAATCAAATTCTCGTATTAATTTGTCCATAAGTGCCTATTATTTTTCGTAAACAAATAGCAAAAATTCTAAACCATAAACCACCTAAATGACAAGATACTGAGGATAGACTCAAACATCAAGCCACTTCTTAAGTCATGTAAATAAGCTCCAATTCATTACAGTTTAAGTCAATAGATAATTTAGCATGGATATCGAATGCTCACTTCAAAACCCAAATTTAGCTTTCTCCATCTAAAACATCCTTTAAACACACACACACACATGCCCTCATAAACATGAACACTCATAGAGTTCAGATGACCCATACCTAAAGGCATTGTGTAATTTAAAAAATAATCGAATATTGATTGTAGACTCGAAATTAAATTAAACACTGAAAATGACTGCGATAAGTTGAAAATTTAAATCACATCCTTAACACACCACACTTTGCATACATGCTCAACAAGTATTATCAATATAAATATTCTCTTGAATACAAATTACAATAGAGAGATGGAGAAAACCTAATTTTATTAATCAAAATGCAAAAAATGTAAATTGAAATAGCATAAAATTCATATATTTGAAACTATATACCTAATAGCCCAAATTTTCAACTCAAAACAGATGTGATCAAGCACGTCAGCTACCTGCCAGTGAAAATAAAACACATGAAAATACTTGTAAGCCAAGAAAGTCTAAAAACATCAACATTAAAATACTTTGTTTTATTAACAATGCAGGCTAAGAAAAAAAAGGAGTACTTATAAAAATTGAGCTACAACAATCGTTAACAATAGTTATGAAGCATAAGGGACTGACAATAATGTACACCAACTATAAAATTTTCCTTGTAAAGTGCCATATTTTTTGTTGTAAATCCTAAACGACGATCCTATTAAAGCGCAAAGTGTTAAAGTTCTTAATTTTGCAAAATCCAAAAAACCAAAACATTTCAAGTGAATAAGTTATTTATTTCAACCAAATAAGTCGAATTTGAGTGTGTTCAAACTGTTGATGATTGGGACAATTTGTAGGGGATAAATATTTATACCTTCTCAAGATTAAGAAATCAATACGACACTACCATACTCATTTGACCTACAAATAATGAAAAATTATCAATTATTAATCTCAATAACAGTATGCTAATAAAAACAAAACTCTCAGGGGGATATAAAAAATTCAACAATAATTTTGTCATACCAACTACAAAATCAAAAAAAAAAAAAGGACTATAATTCAACAACACCAAAGAAACTAAAAAAAAATTCACAATAGACTTAACAGGAATAGGCAAAAATAAAAGTAATGTTCATAAGATTCCATATCAACAAAATTAATAATATTATGACTTTATTATTTTAGGAAATTATTCCTAAACTAAAGAATAAAGACCAAAGTACTAAAGTACTAATCCTACAAATCAGACTCTAAATTCAAAAACACTCTAGATATCATCATTCCTTATTCAAGGAGTCATCCGAGCCTTTAGTCCACTGAAATTACTTAGCTCAAATAGGTAACATAATTTCATAGAAAGAGAAATTATTGCATAGTTTAAGTTTAAAAAAAAATTAGATAACTACCCTCCTTTTGCGATAAACAAAAATAATTATCTATTGTTAGTTTAACTCAGAATCATATTTCACCAAATAACTCAGAATCTACCAAATAACTCAGAATCATATTTCACCCAAATAAAATAGCAAACAAAAAGAAAAGAAGATGAATAGGAAAGGCGAAAATAGGTAGCCCTACCTACCGAATAAGCTTAGTTGAGACCAATTAACACTAACCTCTTGTAAGCTCCTATACAACCATTAGGTCAATACCTCATAAATTAGTGGAGGCTTAAAATTTTCTAGCCAAGGCCTAAAGATTTAGACAAAGAAATGAAGAAGAAAACACATAGAAATAAGATAGCAAAAAAAAGATGTTAATCATCACACCTAATAATCATCACATTTCAACAAATCAAATCCTTGTCAGACATGTTTTCAAACATCTTGTGTGCAAGCTCCAAATTATTGACAGTAGACACATAGAGATTAAATTAAAACTCAATTGAACATTAAAAATGACTACTTTTTTTTTCTCGTTAAACTTTCTAGGTTTTTTGGTTCTAAAATTTAATTTTCAGAACCTATAGCTCTTTTGACTGGCGAAGTTCAAAAAGTGAGTAATCATATTTTAGACAAATCATGCTTATTGCTTCATAACAACAAAGAGATTGAAATCAAGAATTTAAACTGGCCTTTCAACCTAAAAATCTTTAAAATTCACTGCCCAAACCAATTTTGTTCACCTTAAACAACAATCCTATACAAAGCAAAGTGGATCAATTACGTACCTGAACTTTGTAACCTGTATTCAGCTAAAGGAACCTTTTTCAGGCCACTTTGGAACCTGTATAAAACAATGAAAATCCAAGGAATTATGCAAAAATCAAACAACCCATTACCCACATAAAACACATTTACTTGTAGCTTTTTATCAAAAAAAGGAGAGTTATCCAAGAGCAAGTGGCATCGTCACTATATCATAAAATAATAATTTACACTAATCTTAAAGCTCCGCCAAACAAATTTTATCAGCCACCACCAACAAATCATTAAAGAATTAGGAACCCATTATAGAATAGATCTAACAATTTCAAGACTTATAAAGTCTTAGACCATGAACTTGGCATTCTATCATATGGGCTGGCACGTTGTTGAGAACAAAATCAAAAGATCAATTTTTAAGGGTCTAAATTATGTTTTTCTTTCATTGAGCCAAAACAACAAATAGTTTGAAAACATAAATTCAAAATTTATAAAAGCCACCAGTTTACACAGTATATACAGTGCCTAAAATAACGAATTTTTTGTGAGAAATATAGAGAAAGGGGAAGGAGAGGATCAGGGAGGGGAAGAGAGAGATAAAATAGACATAACTTGATGGGTTAGGGGGACTGGTAGGGTTGGAGGTTTGCTGATCGATGAGGGTTCACTAGAGCGTAATGGGTGGGATTTAAAGGGTTCACTAGAGTGTTTTGATCTCTGTAGTTAGCTGTATTTATCTGATGTGTCAATTATAAATGAGGTTTTAATTCACTTGAATTGTTCTACCCATATGATTGAATTTAATGAGATTTTTTCTTTAGTCATTGTTTAAATTCCTTGTTTGGTTTAGAAATAAAATTTATTTACAGATATAGATATGCTTTCACAGACATTCAAAGCCAATGGAGAAAAAACCGTGCATTTAAATCCTACCCCTGGATCAAAACATAGCACACCATTGAAATCAAATAGTACTACTGCTACTGGTGCATCCTATGAAGGTTGTGGGAGGAATATCCAAGCCTTGCCTAACTGCTTTTGCTCTGTTGCTTGCAAGGTAAATAATGATGATGAACACATTTTCACAAGTTCATTAATTACTTGATCTCCATTTCCTACATAATAGTTAAGCTTGTCAATGTGTCATGGAAAATTATGAATATTTAGGTATTGATAGATTCATCACAGATCTTGTGTAAAGACCAGAGCCAAGAGATGATTGCAATCCCGGTGATCTCCATTTTCTACGTAATAGTTCGAAGCTTGTCAACGTGTCATGGAAAATTATGAATATTTAGGTATTGATAGATTCTTCACAGATCTTGTGTAAAGACCAGAGCCAAGAGATGATTGCAATCCCGGTTCTTGAATTTGATTGTCTGTCTGAGAAGCAAGGCCCTGACTCGGAAAGGGATAAAAATGAACATGAATCATCAAGAGAAAACCAAGCCATTGTGAGTTCAACACAGCAAGAAAATCTGGTGAGTTCAGCACACCAAGCCAAAGGGGCGATTTCGAAAGAGGAAGGGTGTCCCTCGCAGGGCTCCTTTCAGTAAGCCCAAAAGAATCATTCTTTTATTAGTTTCTAACAGTAAGAAAATCTTTAATACACCCACATTCTTTCCTTTAGATTACACAAGGTATATTCCCAATAAGACAACATTCTAGGAGTGGGTGAAGGGCAGAGAGAGAAAGAGAGAGAGAGAAGAGGGGTACATGGGCGACTGCAGAGAGAGGGAGACATGGCAGAGGCTGGCTGTGTAGCTGGGGATGTGGTGGTGTTGCAGATGAAGTGGCGATGGTGGTGGTGTTTCTGGTGTTCCTCGTTGCGTCACTGGAGCGTAACAAAGAGAGAGAGAGAAGGTATGGCTTGTCTGAGAAAAGGATGGCTCTCTGGTGGTGTTGCTGGTGTTATTCGGATACAGATATTGGGTTGGGTTGGGTTGATTGAGTTTAGTTAAGTTGGGTTGGATGTGATGGTTAGGTTGAGTTAAGTTGAATGAGATGAATTTAGAGGGAAAATATATGGACTTTTGAATTTGAATGAGATGTATTGTGAGTCTTTAGATGTTAAAACCTTTAGATGAATGAAGACCGTACGATCGACTTATTGAAGGCCCGCTCTATTTTATATTATAGATATACATGTCAGTATTTTACCCTCCACATAATATTTTCTGGGGCTATATAAAAAAGAGCTAGCCACTGGTTCACATTTATAGCACACACACATCCGAGAGAGAGATGGGCTCCTTGGTGCAAAATGAGAACTCTCTCCCTCATGCGGTGTGCATACCATTTCCAGCTCAAGGCCACATAAACCCCATGTTCAAACTAGCCAAGCTCCTTCACCATAGGGGCTTTCACATAACCTTTGTCAACACAGAGTACAACCACCGGCGACTACTGAAATCCAGGGGCCCCAACGCCCTCGCCGGCCTCCCCTCCTTCCGGTTCGAGACCATTCCCGACGGCCTCCCTCCTTCCGATGCCGACGCCACCCAAGACGTCCCGTCCCTCTGTGACTCCACCAGTAAGAACTGCTTGGCTCCCTTTAGAGACCTTCTCTTCAAACTCAACAACAGTTCTTCCTCTGGTGTCCCTCCGATCACCCGCATAGTTTCCGACGGAATTATGAGCTTCACTCTCAAAGCTTCGGAAGAACTTGGTATCCCTAATGTTCTGTTTTGGACTACCAGTGCTTGTGGCTTCATGGGTTATGTTCAGTATCGTCAACTAGTCGAAAAGGGTTTTGCACCACTCAAAGGTATGGTAAATAACTATAGCCAAATCCTCTTTTCTGGTTTCATGACATTTACCAAAAATCGTTTTTTTTCCAATCAAAAAGTATATTTAAAACATGCTTTGAAGGTTTTTTTCAGTAAAAAGGGCGCTTTTAGAACACGTTTTTATATGTTTTCAGTACTCCTAAGTTTTGAAAAACCATCCATACTTTGATAAGTGTAAACCTTGGAATAAATAGTGTGAGAAAAAATAAAACATTTGTTTATGTTGAATTGTATATGAGTTTGAATTCTAAAATCGTCCTAATTTTTGTGAAATGCAGAGATGAGTTGTCTAACAAATGGTTATCTAGATACAGTCATAGACTGGATACCGGGCATGAATGATATACGCTTGAAGGATCTCCCGAGTTTTATCAGAACCACAGATCCAAATGATATAATGCTAAATTTCGCAATGGATGAAGTTGAGGGAGTTCATAAAGCTTCAGCACTCATTTTGAACACATTCAATGCTCTAGAGCCTGATGTTTTAGAGGCACTTTCTTCCATATTTCCTTTCATGTACACCATTGGGCCTCTTCAATTACTCCTAAATCAAGCCCCAGAGGACAATTTAAAATCTATTGGCACAAGTCTTTGGAAAGAAGAACCAGAGTGTCTATCATGGCTTGACTCAAAAAAGCCCAACTCAGTTGTTTACGTGAATTTTGGCAGTGTCACAGTGATGACACCCCAACAACTCATTGAATTTTGTTGGGGACTTGCTAATAGCAATCAGACATTTTTATGGATTATAAGGCCCGATTTAGTCATCGGCGACTCGGCAATTTTACCGCCGGAGTTTGTGACGGAGACAAAAGAAAGGGGTCTACTAGCAAGCTGGTGTCATCAAGAACAAGTTCTGAGCCACCCATCGGTCGGAGGGTTCTTAACGCATTCTGGGTGGAATTCCACCATTGAAAGTGTGTGTGGAGGTGTGCCCATGATATGTTGGCCTTTCTTTGCAGAGCAACAAACCAATTGTTTGTATTGTTGTAGTCGTTGGGGGACTGGGATGGAGATTGAGAGTGATGTTAGGAGGGAGAAAATTGAGGGCCTTGTGAGGGAGTTGATGGTTGGGGAGAAGGGTAGAGAGATGAAGAAAAAGACAATGGACTTGAAGAAGTTGGCAGAAGAGGCCACTGCTTCAAGTGGGTCATCGTCCATTAATTTCGAGAAAATAGTTAGCGAGGTGCTCAATTTCAATGCTTAAAAATCTCTCTTCTTTTTGAATAATGTTATGGGTATTGGCTGTTACCAAGTTATTATTGCCATGTAGTTTAATTATTCAATAATAAATTTATAAGTGCATAATATAAATTTTATATTTTTAAATATGATGGTTTTTTATATGAACATTCAATTCAATACCACGCCTCCTAAATTTTTTATTTCAATAGTTATTTTTGCAATCAGAGTAATCCTATAGGACCTTATTTAAGAATTTTATTTAAGAATATAATAATTTAATTTCATTGTAATCATTAGGTTAGTTATAATTTCTAATGTTAGATGGAATCTCTAACCAATTTAATAGTTATACATTATTAGATTTCAAAATTTGGTCAAAATGACATTTTCCTTATAGTTTTTGTAAGGTATTTTATAATCAAAAAATTTATCTCTGAACATTTTTATTATTGTTATGATAATTATTTGTCACCATTGGATCACATAGGGAATGGGTCGTCGCTGGTGCTGTCATCGTCACCTCAAGCTGGTGGTTGTGGTGCTGCTTGAGGGTCGGTGGGATTCTTATCTGTGGCTTGGGATGTGGGCGTCATCTTCATGCGGTGAGATGGGTATTTTTATCATATTTGTGATAATTATTTTTATTTTTATTTTTTGATATCACTACAGTGATAAAATAATTCATAAATATGATAAAAATAACTATAAATATGATAAATAGAGGTGATGGTGTGTGTTACATAATTGAACAGAACTTATGACGTTTAGAGATTAATGAGTCATTAAACAAGTCTGTTAGAGCTTCTAGACTTTTAAGATTTGAACAAGGGAGATGGGGGATGTGACACAAAGTATTTATAATGGTTCACTAACTTGAGAGTTAGGTTAATCTACTCTGAAAAAAAAATTTTGCTCCTTAAGATTTTATTGATCAAAGGGAGAAGATTGCACAAGGTATTTGCTAAAGCTAGTTATTTGTGTTTTTATTACGAGGAACAATCCTCTTATTTATAGTCTTCTAAAGCCTTATCTAATCATTAGTGTGATCCTTACTTTTTTTTTGTAACGGTTGTGTCTTTCATGCAATTGCAACGGACATCGTAGATACGGTTATGACTTTCTTGCCCAAATGTAAGTCCGTTACGCCAAAGCTTCCCTTGATCTTTGCGATGAGTTGAGTGATCCAAGTTGATCGACCAAACTCAACCTTAAACATATTTTGGATATCATCAAGAGGTATGCTACTGGAAAAAAAATCCGGTACTGTAATCAACTCCAGGTGATTATATTTTCTGCAATCCATTGGGTTTGTAGACAGTCATTCAAAAATTGACAGACTCAACAATAGTGAGCCACAATTAAATATTGAGTGATTTCGAGGCAAATTCATAGGCCCAATAGGATTTCAAAATAAACCCAGTAGTCAATTTTTATTTGAATTAGGCCCCAGAGGAAAAATTAAAATAATGAATATAACTAACGCATTTTACGATTATAAAAAACTAGGTTATCATAATGTATTATATTTTTTCATAAAAACAAATCATAAGACATGTACCCCCAAAAAAAAACATATATATATATATATATATACTTTCGATAAAAAAAAAAACAGGTACGCAATAATCGTCAGACAGATATATTAAAACACATATCGTCAAATATGTATAATAAAATATAGATCGTTAATGTATCTTCTTCTGTATAAACACAAATCGTTAATGTATCTTCTTCTCTATAAAATACAGATCGTCAGACATGTATATTAAAATACAAATCGTCAGACAGGTATACTAAATTACAAATCGTTAATATATTTTCTTCTTTATAAACACAAATTGTCAGACATATACACTAAAAATAGATCGTCAAACATCATCATAATGTCCAAATTTCTTGGTTCACTATTTTGAATTTCAAAATTGATAGAAAAACATAGCAAAAACTTCTATAACAAAGTCAAAAAAAAAAATAAAGATTATATTTTAGGTTGAAATCAAGTGAGAAAGACAAAATAGGTAATGAAAATCAGAAACTAATCAATCTCTTAATATTCATGCCAAGACAGAGACCCTGCATGCAAACATCGAAAAATCCTTTTTTATATTAAAAATTTATAAAACTAAAAGGAGGGCCAGCCCGCCCAACAACATTAAAAAGAAAGCGCTGGCTATAGTGCCCAAAATTTTGAAAGGTCCATAATTTTAAATACATAATTAGTCAACGTAAAAAATTTAAATTCATGAAAATTTTAAGTCTTACAAAAAAGCCTCAAAAAATTTAAGTCCAATCAAAAAATTATAATTTTAATAATTTGAGCCTACAATTCAATTGATATCATTAGAAACTAAAAAATTAAAAATTTTAAAAACAAATAAAAAAATATTCTAAAATTAACTCATATTTACTCACATCAATTCTCTCTCTTTCTTTCTTTTAAAAAACAAAAATAAAGTATCATATCCTCCTCTCTTACTTAAAAAAAATTAAAAATATTTTTTATTTTTTTAAAATAATACTAAAAATAAAAAAAATCTCATTTAATATTACTATTTTATGTTTCAAATTACCTTGAGTGATTCTGAGAGACACTCTACTTTAATTCACTATTAAATATTTTGTCTATTCTCCTTCATGCAAACTACACGCACACAAATAATATATACACACAGTGACACACCGCTAACCCACCGACTTTCTTCGTCCTCTTCTTTCCAAACATCCCCCCTCCCCAAGAAGGGGAGGTGGGCCGGTGGTTGGTAAGGGTTGCGTTCATCTGTGACACTGCGTCGTCTGTGTGTTTAAGGGCAGAAGAAAAGCAAGAATGAAAGAGAAAAGATCCTATATTTGACTGCAACTCATTTCTTGTTGAGTTGTCAGCTTTTGAATGGCTGTTCAAAAACCCTATGACTAGGCGTAAACCAAATATAATATAATCTCGAAAAAATTTCAGTTATTCTTCTTCTTTTATTATATCTTTATAGACATTTTTTCTATTTTTAAAATTTTTGCTGACACCCAAAATCAGATTAAAAGTGTTAATTAGAATAGAAATTTATTAAATTATCAATCATATTTTAGAAAAAATTTCATCCGCATCCTTTTTAAATAAATATATCTTCAATAAAACCTTCTCTATTTTTTAAAATTTTTTACGTATTAAAATTTGAACTGATTATAATTCGATTTAAGTTAATTAAATTTGTTCTTTATATATTAAAATTTGAGAAGATTAAAAAATTATATTTTTTTACATATTAAAATTTGAGACGGTTAAAATTCTATTTGAAAACCAAATTTTAATCAACTCACAATAAACTTTTATCGGCTTGATTTTGATATATAAAAAAATATAAAGTTTAATTGACTCAAAAAATAAATTTTAATCAACCTGAATTAAGTTTTACTAAATAAAAAAAATATACATTTTAATCAATTTGAATCGAATTTTAATCAGGACTAAATGTTCAAGTAGAGCTCAAATTGACTTCAATATTAATACGTAAAAAAATAAAATTTAATCAGCTCGAATCGAATTTTAATCGACTCAAATTTTAATATGTAGAAAAAATAATTTAATTATCTCGAATTTTAATATATAAAAAATAAATTTTAATCGGTTCGAATTTTAATCAAATTTTATATATAAAGATTGTTTATGGTTTATGTAGAGGTAGTTTTGATATTTAAGATAATTTATTTTTTTTATAAATGATAGTTTAATGACAGAGAGTGTCAGTGATGTTAAATATAAATTAGAAAAGTGTCGATGATATTTTTGATAACAAAAGAGATATTTTTAAAGATATAATAAAGTGGAAGATATGTGATTGAAATTTTTTGTAATATTTTTAATAATAAAAAAATATTCTTATAGATATGATAAAGTAAAAGAAGAGTGGTCGAAATTTTTCCTTTGCTATAATAAGACCAAAGAAGATTCAATCTGAATGATTTGTGTTATTAAAAAAAACACCAGTCCCTACAGGTGGCTTGAGATCCAATACATCTCATTTAATGAGCCAACCGGCCCACCTTGGTGGGGGCCATTTAGCTTTGACCTTATTCTCGATATGGGTTCTAATTATAACATCCTTAAATAATTACAGTAGTATTTATAATAAAGTAGTTTATAATTCAAATGTCAAAATATAAATAAAATGATTTTTATTATTCACAATTGATATTGATTTAAATTTTACTTTAAAGTTAATCTAACAACTAATATTAACACCCTAAATTTAATAGAAAAAATAGGCCCTAAGTGTGTATTTGGAGTGCTCTTTTAAAAGTATTTATAAAAATTATTTTTTATAAATATATTTTTTTAAAATAGTGTTTGAAACCGCCCCACCACTACCTCTACCACTACCAACCCCACCCCCACCACCCCCACCACCACCACCACTACCGTCATTACCACCATCGTCATCGTCGCCGTCACCGCTACAAATCCCACCACCGCCCCCACCACCATCGTCATCGTCGCCGTCACCACCACCACTATCGCCACCACCATCACCATCACTGTCACCGCCCACACCGCCATCATGACCGTCGTTGCCACCACCACCGTCGTCGCCATCACCACCGCCACCACCGCCATCGTCGTCGCCGCCACCATCACCATCACCATCACTGATTCCCTTGCCGTCACCACGGTCATTGTCACCCACCACAACCATCACTGTCTCTTACCACCACCACCTCTCACCGCCATTACAAATCGATGCTTAAATTTTTTTTTCTTTTCTCTAAGTTTGTGATTTGATTTTGGATCTAAATACAAATATATTTATTATTTACCATTTTTTATTACTATGTGCCTTCAGGCACAAACAATAACTAGTATTTTAATATAATATATGTAAAATTTTTAATTTTATGTTATTTTTTAGAATGACCGACTATAAATTAATTAAAGCAAAATGTATATAATACATGATATTTGATATTATACCAATTTTTTTTTCAATAAAAATAAATGAATAACAAATCTAGTAAATATTCATTATAATAATATATTACGTTATCATCATCACATGATATAATCATTCAATAAAAAAAATTAATAAATAAGCAAAGTGAACTCCACTATTCTAATAATTAATAATAATTCCCATATTTCATAATCATTACATTAAATTAGCAATATTTACTTTGCCACATATTTGTTTATTATTTGAGGGTGATAATACAGAACACAAAACATCAAATTTTTTGGAGATTTTTCTAAGAATGAAAAGAAGAAATCAATGCTACAAAAATGAGTGGGGTCAATCAAGTAGGTCAAGTGGTTGGATTTTGCAAGCTGTTCCAACCAGTGCTGGATGTGATTCCAAGAGACGAACAAGAATGAATACAAATTACATTAACATGGCTTTGTAGATATCTAAAATAATTAAATCATAAAGGTGCTTTTGTAAGAATTCCTTTCTAGCGATTATTATTTATATCTAATTTAAAGACTTAATCAAAGAATCGAATGAATTACAACTGTTAGATTGAGAGTCGAACTATTTAAAATTGAAATTCATTATTAATTTAATGATTGCATTTAAATTAGATCATAAAATTAGGTCCGTATAATATTGCTAAAATACCTAAGTTTTTCTTTTTGGGTAAATAACAGATTGTATAGATAGAAATTTACAACAACGCTACTCCATTCTGATGACAAAATGGGTCTTGTTGTACCAATGGGACTGCTAGCTATTACTATTGATATGGACGAAATTCACGGCTAGGGCCTTAGTGGTCTAGAAGCTTGACCAGTCCAAGAGGCCCGGAGCAGAGAAGAGAGACCTGGCATCAGCAAAAAGCTTATAGCCCAGCAGTCCAGGCCCAGCCCAAACCATAAAGCGGTTTGGGGAGTAAAAGCCCATTCTAAGCTATTTCTGGATGGACAGAGGGGACCATGCATCCAGGGGGACCACCCCTGATACCTACGACAATCTTAGATAAGGTGGAGCACCAAGCCACCAGAGATCATGGCAACGGCAACGCCGGATGAACAGGGACGCT